ATATGTAGGAGTGGGTGAGTGGCTATAGAGGTCTTGGTCTAACGTTAAAAGTCATCACGTGGTCTTTAGTTTACTCAGCCATGCTGGACGTCGAATATTCCCATTGGAAACATTTCTGCGGAAGTATTTTGTTGTTGGCGGGGGGGGGTACCTGATTGTTTTATGGGGATGTTGGGTTAAGGGTCTGACCCTCAATCCCTGAATTAGGAATTTCAACTGAAAAACAAACAAGCAAACCATTCTAAACCAGGAATACTCAAGTAAAACAATGCCACGACTTAGGGTTCAATGTAATGAAAGATAGGTGTAAAAGCACTAATCTGTTTTGATAATAAAATCTTAGCGTAAAAACTGCATCCTATTTCAGAAATATTAGCGTAGTAAATTTTTCACACCTTGCTGCTTGCATAACTGTACAAAAGGGTATACAGTACTTCATATTATGAGGATAATGATTGATACGTAAATACAAATATTATTTTAGGTGTGATTCAATACTTCCTCTGTGGTGAGAGAGGCCTATCTTGAGAGAACGTCGAAATCATAAAATTTTAGGACCTGCTTTAATCAAATCCCTCCCCCCCCCCAAATACAACAAATAAAACCCTTAATCATTGTACTAGAAATACAAGAGTACCCAGAAAGTTGGTTGGTACTATGCACTAAAAATGTCTATTGGAACTGCAAGGAAAGTAATACTTTAATATATACTTTAGTACTATATTTAGATACGAACAAGATTCAGCTTGTGCTCACTACAAAGCCTCGTATATTCGTTCGATGTGCAACTATCACGACATATCTCGGCTAAACCAACCTGCTCTTCAATTTGGTGTAGCGGGTAACTGGTAAAATTGTAAATTAGACGAGGACTTGTCTGTTATGACAACCAACAGCACAGACTTTTCCTTTTTCCAAAGAAGTATAAGAATATTTTTCACAACTGGTCACAGAAGTGAAAAATATGCGAATCTTGTATTGGTATAGATTGCCGTTGTTCGCTAGAAGGGGATGTTTGACGTCTAATATGATGACCTAAAATAAAATGAACAGTTTTGTGACATCACGCACAAGACCTCTGGAAATAGTTGATATGATATGAAGCCTTAAAATAACCATCAAGTGCGCTGAAACTTGAATATACTTGCGTGATTATATTTTGTCTTTCTTTTAAGTCAAAAAGGAAATTGCTTTTTTCGCGCACGCTTGTTTAAAATATATACTGCAGCTGGGTGCTGAAACTATATATTTTTATGCAGATAGGCACTGAAACTTGTTTTAGCGCATTTTGAAATCTTTACTTTCAATATAATTTTTATTATACACAAAAAGAACATTAACAGTTGTGTTAAATATATCGGCCATTGTATTAAACTAGTAGCGCCATCTCTTGGGAACACAACAACAATTTTCACTGACTAGATCAGGGGTCACCAAACTTTTCTCACAGCGGGACAGATAACTGAGAGAATGACGAGCGCGGGCCGCATAACCATTTTGTTCAATACAATACAGTGAATACACAAAAAATAAAGACAACAAACATGTTTATTTACCAAAACGTTATCAAAGAAAGCGACGTTAGCAATAAGATAGTTATATCACACCCAGTGCGCACATATTCGAATCTCGCAAACTAAGCAGCAAAAAAAGGTTAGTGAGATATGTAAAACAGGCGTTTAGCTTTTGAGATATCATCAATATTTGCTTTGGAATTGCTGCATCCAACCAAGAGAATTGCTTTCAACTGTTCATCAGTCAACCTCGTTCGATGTGCTGACTACACATACTTCATTTTTGAAAATGTTTGCTCACAGACATAAGTTGTTCCAAACACTGATGCCATACCAGAGGCAAATTTCT